AAGTACGCACACAGACGTTAATGGTCCCACGTTCGGCCTTCTCTTTGTCAGAACTGTATCGAATATCGGGTCGTTGGAGTAGATATTTTTGTACCTTATTTTAACGGCTGTGGTAAGTTAACTTGAAGGATTTTTTTTATGGAGTACTGTTAATCGAGTACGAGTACTTTGATGCTCGAGTACAATTTTTGGATGTCGAGTTCCGAGTATTTTGTAGCCGGAGTACAAGAACTGTAGTTCGAGTACGAGTACTTGGACGTCCAAGTACAAGTACGAGTACTCTGAAAACGGTACTCGAGTATGAGTACTACAACACTGCTGAACACCTAAACTGACCAATAAAAACACTTAACAGATTGTACCATGTACGGTGAAACTGTGCACGACATACATACACATGCCAGCATATGTACAGTGTACATGCTACACGTGCGTGCAGGGTAGGCTGGCAGCTGAAAGCAGGCCGCACTCGCGATGCAATGATTGTAATATATTCGCATGATAATTATAGGCCTACGTATGAAAGTCGCAGTGGGATAAATGGGAAATCGTAAGTTACAAATGAATCATAGTCCTTTTTTAGTGTTTGGTGTCCATTGTGTTTGTCATATCGTTCGTTATTTGTTAAGTGCCCTTAAATTTCCTTTGGGGTGCAATTTTTTACGCTCCTTCAGGAATGCTGAGGAGTGCAGTAGGAGTGTCTACGCGATCGCACCCCTTGAAGGACTGTGTACATACATGTACCCTAGAGTGGTTATATTCCAGGTAGAGAAATTAAGGTCCGCCTGGTTTTAGATGTAAATCCTATGAGGTCATATCACAAGTGATACCTGTTTATGGCAACTTTACATGCAACAATAAGAACAGTGTAGGTAAAATGCCCTGCTTAAGGACACACAACATGGACAGCAGCCAATCTCAAATTGTGATCTTCACAATGCACATGTTCGTATGTCACAAATTGGTTCCTCGCAAGCAAATTGCCATTTTCTGGTCTGTTTCTCTCTTACATGTAGCACCAGACGACTCTTTGGTCCCCGAAGTCCAGGCCACTGAGGTCAACAACACAGACGGTGCCAAAAAGGATGAGGGCCGGAAAGATGCAGAGGACCACGTTGCCATTAACGGGGATATTGCAATGGAAGGAGAAGGGGACCAGACGTTACTGGAAGAGAATGCTGAAGAAGGTACATGTGCATGCAGATGCATGCCACTTGTGTGTATTGCAGTAATGACCCAAAGGAGCCCAACTTTTGTGCTGCAAGACTAATTTGTGTTGTGTACAGTGCGCCTCTCTGAAACCTGTTCCTACGAGCCACATATTGGCCAGTGATGCTAATTGGACTATTGTCCAGCAAGCATATCTTTTGCACCTGTGGAAATGTGTTTAATAACATTGATGTCCAGTTGTCTACTGGTTTAGACATTAGTTTCACACCATACTCGTTGCACTTTCATGCCACCAATTTTCCTGTTTTGTTTGTAACCAAGCAGACGGTAGTCGTTCAGAGGCCACATTTAAGTACACAGTGCAGGGCATCAGCAAGTTCAAGGAGTCATCACTCAGCCCAGCTGTGATTGTACGGAACTTACCATGGTAAGGGACACCTCCCCTCTCCTTCCCCATCTCCCTTCTGCCTGCCAGAACAAGTCAGTGGTAAAATTTTCTTGTTTTGTCCATAACTCCAACAGCCTGCAATCATTACATTTTTACACAAGTTTGTTTTCAGGCATCCAAGGGGATTTGGTTATTAGTGAAACAGCTGTGCTTTTTCCCTTCCCATCTTACATGCCAGCAGAGCTGCATTGAAACCACCAGCATTGCAGCTGTCCAGTGATACAGATTTTTAAAAAGACTTGGGTGTCACAAATTTCAGGACATGAAACTTGGTCACACATCTGGTGTGCTGAATTTGCGGCATATTCACATGTGCCCGGTGATATGATGCATATGCTTGTGTAAACCCACACATCCAAGTGTGTATTTGCCTGCAACTTGGGACCCCCTATTGTTCCTCTTTTGTTTGTACTTTTTTAGATGACCACCCTTATGTTTTGTACACGGTTGCCAATCGGGGACCCTCCGTCAATCAGGAACCTTTTTGTCCTCTATTGTTCAGGGTCCCCATTTGAATGCAAAAACAAACTCACATACCCCAAGTTGGTTGAAGGTTATCAGTGTGGGCATTGAAATCGCACAGTGCTTGGCGAAGAATAGATTACACCTGGGCATTGTGGCGGATTCTTTTTCATTTGCACAGGAAAATCATGGCGATGCCGAGGACGTCAAACAGTGGGGAGCGCGCTATGAAGACACTGGGTTTCTTCCTGCAGTGCAACGCCGAGTCGGAATCACAGTAAGAAAATCTAACGTATAAGCTCTGCATTGCAAAGATTTTTTCTGACTATGATAGAGTGTACCGAAGTGACTACATCACATGCACAACTATGTGCGTAAAAGGCATTACTGCAAGAACCTGTGCATGAACCCACATGTGCAGGTATTCCATTTGTTTGCACTCCACTCCCTGGTTGAAAATGAAATCACAGTAAGAAAATCTAACGTATAAGCTCTGCATTGCAAAGATTTTTTCTGACTATGATAGAGTGTACCGAAGTGACTACATCACATGCACAGCTATGTGCGTAAAAGGCATTAGTGCAAGAACCTGTGCATGAACCCACATGTGCAGGTATTCCATTTGTTTGCACTCCACTCCCTGGTTGAAAACGCCATCACACTTCAGAATCCTGTTGTGGGTATGTGACTTGGCCCACTCCCCTTTGTTTCAAAAGTACCAGAACAATAGACCTTTCTCCAGTGATGTCATGATCATGCTGGATAGTGTTGTGAAGGTAATCTACCTATTCAAGATAAACTCTTCAAGCATGCAGCATTCGCACGTGCGCTTGTACATGGTTGAAGCTGCCCGTAGGAATATATGCGATCACCGTGGCCAAGGCGGTCCACACGTGGTGGTATTGTTTACATTTAGTCACATGGGTGAAAAAGGTCTATCATTCAGAGACCAGCACATGGGGCCCCGTAGCCCAGTGGGTAAAATATTAGTAGGGTAATTCAGTGGGTATCAAACAGACTGATATTGGATGGGATTTTTCACACGTTTGATGTTAAGATGTCACTACGGTAATTTGCTTACTAAAACACTCTTAGAAATTATAGAAGGTGTTCTAAATTTTTAAAAAAATCATTTGACAGATGTAACAGGGACAGGAAACTGGGCCTAAAATTGAACTGAATGACCCAGATGAAATCTTCTGCCCAAGTTCTGTCGGAGATAGAATTGCTCTGAGGGTTGAATATACATGTATATTTGTCACTGCTCTGCCTAATTTATGTGAATCTTTGCTTTGTTTTATCTCCACCCTGGCAACTTTTACATAAGAGTGTATGTCAACTGAGCCTCCAGGCATTTCAGAGAATTCTTTTTTTTTTTAGTCCACTTCTTTAGCCGGAAATCGTCCACTTGTAAAACTGTGAACTGATCAGCACCACCCCAGATTAGAATGGGAAGTACATGTAAGTTAATAACTTGCTGGTTGATGCTCATCTGGGCTTTCTCACTGTCTGTTTCTGTCCTTCAAGGACGTGGTCTTGCCAGGCCTCAGCTGAGCTCCGATTGTTGAACCAGAGAGACGGGATGGATTACTCAAAACGTAAGCAGGCATTTCTACTCTAAACTTCCTAAGACGAGGAATATCAAACTTGATGTAACATGGACAGGAAATGTCCCCCAACAAGCGAGGTACATGTATCTCGTACGTGCGGCGATGTTCTTGAAGACCTGCCTTGGCTTATAAAAAGAATGGAATGGTTTGGTGTCTTAATTTCAATTTTTAACTTAGTCTGTGCGTTATGTGCACACCTCGAAGAAAAGCCATTCAGGTATGTAAACAAGGCCACCCAGATTTTCCTCATTAATGCTTCTCCTTAATTTATCAATCAACACATTGTTCAGAACAAATTCTGGAATGAAATTGATGTCCAAGATCTAAAGTTTAAAATTACTGTGTCAGCATGTAATCAGTCTTCATCTATTTTTCCCTTATCTTGCAGGAATCACACACTTATTCTACAGCAAAGAAAATGACTGGGGATTCAGTAATTTCATAGCAATGTCGGTGAGTCTGGTTTGTCTCTTACTGTGATCCTCTCCTTGCCTGCCAAGTTCTCACAACGTTCTTAGCCCATGAGTTGTAAGACTTTCAGGATGCAGCTCTCAAGAGTGTGTTCATTTGAAGCATTGTTGTGCTTTGGAGAATTGCTGTCAAGAGTCTTCTGTGCTAAATTATTCCAGCTGTCAGTCGGCATTTTCACAAAATGGTAAACATTTAAAAATTTGGGCTGTAATTCTGAGCAGTCGACAAGATGCAGCTAAAAGTTGTCAGCTATTGTTTGAAATCTTCGAACTGGAATCGTATATTTGACCGTTTTTAGGAAGATTTAAAGCAAATCCTCCCTCCACTAAAAAGATAAGCCAAATTTATTGCAGAATGTTCTTAGATGAACCCTTCTTTACTTTGGGGGAATTAAGTTGTCCTGCACTTCTGTAATGCTCACCTTTTTGTCTTTTGTCGCTACAATTCCTCGGCTGTTCTTAATAGGATTTATTAGATCCAGAGAAGGGTTACATGAAGGACGACAGCATTGTCTTGGAAGTCAAGGTCATTGCTGATGCACCGCATGGAGTCAGGTCAGTGGTGTGTAATAAATTGCGATTTGGTTGGGGGAAAAAAAATGAAGACCAAGTCAAAATGTGCACGATGTTGCTCTGTAGCACAAACTAGTATAACGTTCTGCTGCGTTTATTTTCCATTTAATTGGCATTTGATGGAATTAAAACTTAATTCCTTTTCTGTTAATTTGTGTATTACCATGCGCCGTAGTCCATGTGTTGCTTGCGTGGCTTGTGTTTGCCTATACCCGGTCACTGTTATTTAAATCTAAATTCTATCTGTGACAGCTGCATGGTCCAAAACATTAATGAAATTGTTACTCTTTGCATGGTTTTCATGGAACGATTTTACAGAACATTGTAATTTACGGTTAAAACTGAACAGGGAATTTGTGACAAGAATTCACACTCATGTTCGTGATCACATTCCACGAGGTGTGAAAATATTTTCCCTACTTGTATGAGAAGTCATGGAAATGTTTCTTCTTGTGTGGAAAGGTATGAAAGTTTCTTCCCACTAAAAAATTGTTTCAATATTTTTGCGAAATGAAAATAATTCCCTGGGAAGAGAGTGTCAAAAGAATGCCCCATTCGCAGCTTCAAGTTTCAGTCGCAGTGTACTGCAGCTTCGCAGGCACTTTCAAAAGTACTGTTGAATAGATGCACCTGCTTTTTGCTGCAAAACTGGTTTCTTTCCCACTTGTCTTCCAAAACAGTCAAACATCAGTGAACTGTTTTAATTTTTCTCCTGTCGGTTGTCTACTCCGCAGCTGGGACTCCAAGAAGTTAACAGGTTACGTGGGTCTGAAGAACCAAGGCGCAACCTGCTACATGAACTCACTCCTCCAGTGTCTCTTCTTCACAAACCAACTCAGGAAGGTCAGCATTTGCGCCTGTTTAGACTTGACCACGTTTTCAGTCTGTCGCAGTTGATCGCAACCTGTGCCGTGTCTTTATGCAGCTCTCAAAACGCGTGTAGATGCAGAGACTACATTCCAGCAAAAGTGGATTGCGCATGCTCAGCATGGCCCGCACCACGCACTCATGCTCCTGTGCGTGTGCATGAGGTGTGTGTCCCCATGAAAAGGGTGGTGTTGTAGGTATGTCAATGCGCGCCTTTGGTCATTCCCAAACGGATTTTATTTCACAATACTTTATTTTAGCCAAGACAGGACCAGCGTTATAATGTTCACTTGTTTGTTTGTTTTTTTCTGTGCACTGCAGGCCGTGTATTTGATGCCCACAGAGAGCGACGACTCCGCCAAGAGCGTCCCCCTGGCATTGCAAAGGGTCTTCTATGAGCTCCAACACAGCGAGAAGGCTGTGGGTACCAAGAAACTCACCAAGTCATTTGGGTAAGGGAGGCGTGTCAGAACTCAGGAGTCAAAGTCAAGCTTGAGAACGGTAGTGGTCCACTTTCAGTCCCCGCCAACAGATGACACAACACAACAGCTGTTTCCCTGTTCCTTAGTCTATCCTTTGTCCTTCGCTGTCAGAGCCTATGCTGAATCTATGGGAGAGTGTTATTACAGGAGCATTAGGAAACAGCATGGCCTGTCCTAGGCGGTATCGTAAAATTCAACTGATCATGGTTCATGCCTATTTATTTTGAAATATCTGTGCCCTTTCCAATCCAACTAGCACTGCCTTAAGATTGACACAGATGCGGAGCATTCAGTTTGTCCAAATTACTGACTCCCTTCTCTCTGTTTATTGCAGCTGGGAGACCTTAGATTCTTTTATGCAACACGACGTCCAAGAGCTGTGCAGAGTGGTAAGTACAAGCTTCCCCGAGGCCCTGTTTGTTTTGTGCTGATCTGGGTCTCTATCAGCGGTCCCAGTGCCGGTTCACTCCATCCATTAGGCGGCTTCTGGTGTCAGTAAACCAGTGATGGGTTACTGACCGAGATTTGGCTTAATGTAAAACGAACAGGCCCTAAAAATCACCTCCGATGTCCAAATGCTGCCAGTAATGTCATCTCATAAAATAAGCCAGTCTGGAACTTCCTGCTGCACATGCTCTCATCAAGAATATGTGGAATTAAGAAAGGACATAAATGTACACAGGTTTTGGGGCCAGTGGTAACAAAAAGTACAGTTCTTCATGTAGTCAAGCCAATCAAGTAGTCAAAATATGTGCAGTTGTTTTCAGAACCACACATATTCACAAAAGAGATAATCCACATGGTGTCTCTGTAAACCTACCTATCAAAGATCCACCGTGCAAACCTTTTAAGCATTATCTAGTGAAGCAAAGCATGGACAAAACAACAACACCCAAGTTGAAGTACACAACAAAAGACTGGTAGAACATGCTGCAAGTAAAAGTCTTCTCTCTTTATCAGTTACCTGAATTCCTTGGACAGTGGACTCTCGTTAATACTAGGGCCTTGGGACTTTCTAAATTAGCTCGTATTATCCAGACCTTGTCTTACGCAAAAGCTGCCGTCCTGCTCGACTTATATATCACCAATCGACCATAGGTAAAGCGTACATGTGCACAAGTTATGCATAACTTTTTGTTTAAAGGCACGTATGTTTTGTTATATGAATCTGATTTAAAAAATTTGTTAATGAAAGTGAGATACAGTTTAATGAATAAAGACTTGAAATAGAGAATTGACACTTTAGTTGGTAACCAACACCAGAGCTGTACATGATGCACATAAAAATGGGAGGAAACCAGCTATTGCTGGTGTGGACAGTACTGGGCAAATATCGGATTTTACTTCAGAGAGGCGTTTGGGTTTGGTGAAAAATTATTAGCAAGGGATACGCTTTTTTTTTCAAAACTTATGATTAATTTCTTAAACTTTTTGGACTGAAAACCATGGTTTAGTCATGATTCCGTAAAATTTAGAATTTATAAAAATGTCAAAATCGGAAGAGGCGATATTCTCATGCTACGGTGGGGAGTGGGTAAAAATTTTTTTGGACGGGGGTTGACAGTTTTTTAGGCCAGGTGTTTGGTTACAGAACACAATTTTGATTAGTTTCCTGGGGGGACTTTGGCTTGGGGATTTTTAAGGGGGCGGGAGAATCAAACAGAAGTTTTCTTTTGTTCACCCCGCCGCGTAAATATGTAGTCTGTGTCATGTAATCTTTACGGAACCAGTCTGGAGTTGTATCCTAATAACTATTACAGTGAAGACCCAAAATATATGTCAGCACCAGACTATTGAAGCCCTGTTTCTATGCACATCTGCACTCCACTATCATTATATGGAAAGTTAGCAGCTGAAAAACAGCAACGGCGTCTGTGAGTACAAGTAACGTGAGATTTCTGTTTGAATATTTCTGAAGTGTAGTAAAACAAATACAGCATGGTTTATTTCGGAGAAGTCGTGGGAATTACTGGTCACGAGGTGAAAGTCAGTTTGACTACCTCCTTTCGCTTCCAGTAATTCTCCCTACGTCCCCGAACTAAACCATGCTGCATTTGTATAGTAGCTGTACGCAAAGTCATCACAACTAGGCTCTACTGCATCCATCAACATAGAGCAAGAGTTGATCTGCTCTCTCAGAGCCACTTTGCACCAATTTGTTTGGGACTGGCATTGCTAAAACATGCATTGTTTCTTTCCGTTTGTGTCTGGCAGCTTCTGGACAACATAGAAATCAAGATGAAAGGCACGTGCGTTGAAGGCACCATACCCGAGCTGTTTGAAGGGAAGATGCATGTAAGCTATTCAGCCTCATTCTACTGTGTAGGATCAGGGTTTTTTACGCATTACATGAGAAATATCTGCCAATGCATGTAATTATATTTGAATAAAATCTTTTCCTCCAGACACTGTCCTGTCAAACCTTGTTAAGAAGAACACTGTTCATACACCATTCTGCTTGTAACAAAGAAATCTTCAGGTCCCAATCCCTTGTTCTTCATTATTTCCATTCCTGATATTTAAATACACGCTTCCTGTGTTGACGAGGTCGTCTGCAAAGTCGGAGGGACCTCTTGTTAATAATGAAGTTTAACTGTACAATCAAGTAAGAGTGAATTTAATCCTTGTAATTGGACTTTGTCCGAGTAAAGCATGTACATGTACTAAAGTGGATGATGACAGGTACAGCTGCCGTCAACAGTAATTAATGACTTGCAGTCAGCTTTGCAGTCACCTGGTGTCAGTTCTGAAGTGGTGCAGTTAAGTCCGGTTTTAATGGCACAGCGTCTGATGTACATGGACACAGTTAATTTATTGGATTACAGGACGTTACTGCTTGTTCAAATACACGGATAGTTGCAGTGGTGAATATTGTTTGGGGGGTTTATTCCCTGTTCTCTGCAGTCGTACATCAAATGTAAAGACATTGACTACGAGTCCGTCAGAAACGAGCCTTTCTACGACATTCAGCTCAACATCAAGGGCAAGAAGAATGGTGAGTGTCATTTGTATTTTCCAATGGCTGCAAGATCTGGCAGGGAGATGCACAGCACACTGAGGCTGGAATGCAGGAATTGGAACATTTTGCTTGTGATTTCAGATCCTTTGATTGATTCCAAGGTTAAAGCAAAGCCCACTGTAAAAACACTGTGATGAGAACCTTTGTTACATTAATTGACTTACAGTTATTGTTAAATGTGTTGTCATTTAAGTTAAGTGTATCACAACGCGTTCCGAAAACTCTGCTGACAATCCATAGATATCAGAGCACGTTTAATCACTGGTGATGTTTGTTAGATTCAAAACGACCCTGTGCTGAAGTCGTTTGAAATTCATTCGGTAACAATGTGTATTTTCCCCTCGTGTTCAGTTTATGAATCTTTCAAAGACTACGTTGCCAAGGAGATATTGGACGGCGAGAACAAGTACGATGCTGGCGAGCATGGTTTACAGGTAGGCCTGCCAAAGTTGCTTTTTTTCTTCTTATCACTGTAATAAAGCAGTTGGTAATATTTTTGAATATTCAGTTCCTCTTAAAGAACCATCATAAAGTAAAAAGTCCTGTCTGGGAATGTCTTCTTTCGCCAAATTGTAATTATTCAGAGATTTTGTGAAGTATACACACGAAACACTTCCACTGCCAAGGGATTGGTGGCCATGTGTCCAAACATTTTGTATGCAGCAAGTCCAACTTTTGTTGACATCCACTGCTAAGACCCACCCACTCCCAGCCTACACCTTGTGATCCACAGTTTCAGCCAGAGGGGGTGTCTGGGCTTCTTGTGGACTCCCTGTTGGCCATTTTGGAATGCCTTGCTTAGTCATAGAAATGCATGTAGAAGCACGAAAACCTCAGCAACACGGACACTCTGTTTTTTTAATTTAGGCCATGTGACAACAGCTTTGTCTTCTGTGTTAAACAGTATAGGCCTTAGTCCCTCATCCTTCAAAATACTCATGGAGTTTGTAGGATTTAGGAAGGTACATGTACAGGTAGAGCCTACCCACTATTACTTTATATTGGACTCAATGCTCCATGCAGTAAAAACTGCAAAGAAGGTGCCATAGGGTACATGCTTGCAGGACTGTTGAAAGTTCCTATTAGAAGAGGCCAGGTAGCTTGAATGAAATGCAATAAGATCTTGATTTCTTTTTCTTTTAATCTCCAGGAAGCAGAGAAGGGGGTGATATTCCACAAGTTCCCTCCCGTACTCCATCTGCAGCTCATGCGATTTCAGTACGACCCAGTCACCGACTCCAACGTCAAAATCAACGACAGGTCTGTGGAAACAAACGACCTCTGTGAATCCTGGGCACTTTCATAGCTAGATTGTGCTTTCTCTTGAGAAAATGTGCAAAAAAAGATTGTTATCAATAAGATACTGAAAATTCTTGCTTTAGTTTAGTTGCCGTTTACTTTATATTAGCCTTAAGGAGCTGCCTTGTGGCATTGCTATATGCTGAAGTTGGAAGCTAAGTTTAATATCTTTCAAGCACAGTAAGTGTTCTCCAAACCACACCATTACAAGTTTTTTGTTGACTGGTTATTGTGTCTTTTTCCAGCGCTGTTGGAAACTTACAAAGATACAGTACTCAGTAAACTCAGTGCATTTCAGCAAGATTATTCTCATGTCCTATTTGTCCTAAAACTTGAGTTGCGAAAAGTAAATAATTGTGAAACCGACTTTAAGATATCACTTGAGTAGTTCTTCTTTGGTCTATAATGTTGCTCAATTTGGTTCTTATCATGGAATTCTGTGTTTGGTTTCAGGTACGAGTTTCCTTTCAAGTTAAATCTTGACCCGTTTTTGAAGGAGCCAGAGCCCACACCGGCTGACTACACGTTGCACTCGGTGCTTGTACATAGTGGGGACAACCACGGCGGTCACTATGTGGGCTTCATCAACCCAAACGGCGATGGAAAGGTCAGTCAAATTAAACGTCAGAGTTGCCTTGTCTTTCTGCCTTTCAAGCTGATAATCTGCTTTGTCTCATCTTTTATACCAAAACTATTATAACAATCAGGAGTTACAGGCGCTTATGCTCTGCATTTGTCTTTAGGAAGTGATTCCACAGTAATACTCAGTGGAAACATTACAAGCACAGTTGATAAATCACACTGTGGATAACTTTCCTAGAACAGTCCTGAAACCAGCCACAACAAGGAGAGTGCACAGTGTCTCCAGCTTTGCTTCGGGTGCCATGTCATCCCGGAGTATAAAAAAATATCCATGTCCCACATCGCAGCAGTCAGTTGCCGGTTGGGTGAAAGCAGTGTGAATGTCCGGGGAGATTTGGGCAAATGTGGTAGTTCAGGTGGTGTTAAGCCACCCAGTCTATTTGGAGCACTTGTTTTTCTGTGTTCAAGTTCAGACCTATGATAAGTGAGACTAAAGTCCTGCTTTCTTGTTCTCCGTTTGTCCTGCCTCTTCCCCTCAGTGGTGTAAATTTGATGACGATGTCGTCTCAAGATGTACAAAGACGGAAGCCATTGATAATAACTACGGTGGCCACGAAGATGATTTGTCAGTTAGACATTGCACCAACGCCTACATGTTGGTGTACATGAGGGACAGCTGTAAAGGTGAGTGGTGCAAAAACAAATGCGAAGTATCCTCGCCTTGGACTTCAAAGTGGTTAATAATCATTAAGGTAATAGGCAGGCTCACAACCATTTTTTTTGTGTCTTTCCTTCCAGCTGACCTGCTTCAACAAGTCACAGACGAAGATATTCCCGAGACATTAAAGAGGCGACTACTAGAAGAAAAGTAGGTTGGCACTTGGAGATCTGGAGCTTTTGGGACTGATTGGAGACTCCTGTGATCATTTCTTTATAGGTGGTTGTTCTTGCTGGCTCTCAGATAAAAGAACCAAAACTGGGAGGGGGATGTTTGTTTGGTCATGGCTTTCATTAGCCTTTCATCCTTGAAGTTCCTGCGTTCTCTTGCAGTGTTGTTGTTGTTGTTGTGATTTCTCGCCTTTGATCAAAGTGGCACCAGAAAATTGTAAAAGCAGAGGTCACTAGGCATTTTTGTGATTTTCAGAGCCTCTGTCTGTTAGTTGCTGTTGAAACACAAGTAAACCACAGGGCAGGTTGTCAGTATTGAAGTCACAGGATTAGGCAGTCAGTCTTTGGTCCATTTGCTGAAACAGTTTGTGAATTGAGTTGAGACAAATTGACATCTGATTGACATGTGAAGGACTTTAGTAGTACTCGGCTTGTTATTTTCAAACTGTGCAGCACCCCCCGAGTTCTTGTTTGTCCCACTGGCACTTTAGACCTAGTAGGTGTATCAAGGTGGTAGTGTAGCAAGGTTTGGGTAGTTTGGTAGTAGCCACGCTGTGTTCTAGTGTCAAATTATAGTAGTAATGATGGAATATTTCCGGGATATATTTTACCACAGCCACTGTACATTATGGAAACAGAGAGAGTCAGTGATGAATTACACCTGTCACACCTCTGTCTTGAAGGCTAGTTTTTCTTTCATTAACCCAGAATTTTCACAAGACAGGTTGTCATAACTGCATGTCGCACACACCGATAGACATCGCCTTAGCCAGCGTTGTATGATATTGCGTGCATGCAGGCAGACATTCTCCCCGGCAGTGTACAGGATGATGCTGAGACCGCTTACCGCTAATGTTCAAAGATTCCTTTATCACCCTTGATTTCCCTTATGTGAAAAAAGGCAGAAAAAAAGGGAAAAATATCCCGGCAGAGATATGACAAAACAATTTTTGACTGCTGTGATGTGTGACATGACATTTTGAACACTGTCAGGTACGCATAGCACCCTCGGCTTTGCCTTAGGGGCTGTGTGTCCCTCGAGATTTTAAAAGGTATTGGCAACTTATGCCGTCTCCTCTTCTCGGTGATCTTGCAGGAGAGTAGAAGCCCAAAAGCGCAAGGAGCGGACAGAGGCCCACCTGTACATGACCCTGCAGGTTGCCACGGAGGACCAGCTGTACGGTCACCAAGGCAACGACCTGTGTGACTATGACAAAATGAAATTCAGGTAATCTTGGGGGTTGGAGTGACGCGATTCATGGGGAAGAACCAGTGGTTGGGAGTTGTGACTCGAGATGGTGGGAGGGATGCTGCTTTGCACCCGTACGAGTGATGGGCTGTCCCTGCTTGGGAATGTGAACTGATGCCAACATCAAGCTCAATCACCATGAATAGCATTTCTTGAGTAAATCAGGGATAGGTTCTTGGTTGCCTTTGGATGATTCCAGTAGTTTGGTGAAATACTTTTGAAGGTCGGGAAGTGCCCTGACAATTTTGAATTTTTGTTGGGGTGAATCAGGAACAAATTGCAATTCTTGGTTTTTTACTTCTTATATTCATACTAGTTCTAGATATTCTTATGGCGTTCTTTAAAATTTTAGAGAATTACTCGTGGTGTCCTGAATCACAACAATGCAATGAATGTATCAAGAACGGGACAAATATTGTAATAACTTACCAATGTACGCAGATTTGAAATTGATTCATAATTCCGGGTCATTCTTGATTACTTTGAAGTTACTTATGTATTATTCTTGACAAAATTGCAATAATTTGGCTTTATTCTGCTCAAAATGACAGCCTTTCAGCTTCATTTGGTCTAATTCGGCTTCCAGTTTGTATCCTGTTCTTGATGATTGTTGTTGCATTTTTGATACATTCTCATAAACAGTGAATTGGGGCTAATTTCTTCGGATACCATCAAGAAGTTGTTTTGGGGCTAGATTGAAGTATTTGTGTTAATGATTTGGGAATGTGTGAGCCCAGCCTTGACTCTACAATAACACATGGAAATGACATTCAGTGAAGTACTAGAAAAGTCTTAGTAATGCCTTGCCAAGGAAATGGGAGATAAATATCGACTTTATGAAATTGCAGATAATCCCAAACTGAAAGAAGCTTCTTCTAGTTTTAGCCAAAGGGTGAAAGTGCCATTACAAAGAGATTGGTTCTTGATTCCCCCCAGTCATCCAACTTTTGACCGTCTTTCTTAAATGGGAGAGTGGGAAGTCACCTGACTGCCATATCAAAGAGGAAGTTGAAGCGTGGTGGAGTATTTGTAGTTTAAAACGAGAAAGAGGTAAACTGCTTCTCAAAAAGTTTTGTATTTTCATCCTCTTCAAAGAGAGTTCCGTATTCTGAAGATGTCAACCTACCGGGACGTGATGTCCTTGCTGTCGCAGGCGATGGGTTACCCCGAGGACCAGATGAGGATATGGCCCTTCATTAGTCGCACTAACCAAACGTACCGACCCACCGTGCTGGATCTGGACAATCCTAACAAAACGGTATGCTGCCACCAGGAAAGAAGCTCTTCCAGTGCAAATGTGTTATCCTAAAAGTGCTTTTAGTCTATCGTAGGGGTGCAAGGACCAATTTCATAGAGCTGCTTAAGCACAAAATTAGCTCAAGTGCAAAAAAACCTTGCTTAAAAAACAAAGGTGACCAGCTCAAAATCTATGTGATTGTCATGCTAACCAAAAGACAGGTGAATACCATTCCAAACTTATATACATCACATGGAGATTTGGCTGGTAACCTGAATTGTCAAGCAAGGTTTTTTCATGCAGCTCTATGGAATTGGCCCCAGATGGTTAGGGGTTTGAATCCAGCTGCTAGCTATATGTTGTGGCATTGGGCGAGCCATTTCAGTCTCTGCCTGCCTAGCGCTTCCCAGGAATATCAGTTGGTATTGGCATTAGGTGGGGAACCTACCTGCGATGGACTAGCACCCCGTCTGGGGGAATAAGCATATTCTTAGCCATTTCATGCAAAGGAAACCGGAGATTAACCGATGAGCCAAACAGCTTGCCCATTTTCCAAGCAGGAGCAATATCATACTGTCTATTAGCGCCAATCATACCAAGCTAAACAAGGATTCCATGCGATTTACGTCACCTGAAGGTTATCGGCTAATGTACTGATCAAAAAATGAAGTAAAAAATTGTGACTGTTTCAAGCATTAATTCAGCATTAATTCAGATATCACTATGACATCAGACATCACCATTATTTCAGACATCACCATGAAGGAAAAAGGTGGCAAAGCAATGTTTGTTTTAGTTGAGGCAGTTGAGGCCTGTCATGCATGTGTCTGCATGAAGATGTCATAGTCTTTCAGAAATCAATACGGGAGGCTTTTTTTCCTTTTTTTTACCTGGACTTCAGATACACGACATAGCGGATGGTGACATTGTGTGGACGGTCTTCCTAGAGACACAGCTCGCCGAGTTCCCCAATGCCAGCCTGCCTAGTTTCGACAAAGACAGTGAGTGCAAACATAAATGGCCCCAGCTTGCAGGAAGTTGGACAATAATGATATCCAAAGCGTTTGTGCCAAGTTTTAGACTGGTGTACATGATGACTTGATCTGGCAGAATTGCTGTTCCATTTTACGATGGAGAGGGTTTTATATATATATATAAACAGTTTCTTTGGTGGGGTCGTCTTTGAATTTGTAATGCTGTTTATATTGCAAAATTGATATTTTGGTTGAGCAAAGAAACTGTGTGATCAAGACGGGAATCTGTCCAGATCCGCTGGGCATAGTATCAGTGCAGCTTGTGCCGTCATTTCAACATGTTCTGTGATGTGATGTTATTTTTTGCTTGAGTCACAGTCTTCACAACCACATTGTTGACAGTACCTCACTTAAACTCACAATTTTTGTAATGTTTTTTGGTTTTTGATGTGGTTTTTTTGGTTTGTTACTTTTTCAGCCTCACTAATTTGAGGTGGATATACGTAATATGTAGCAAAATAACCTTCACATGTTTTTCTCTCCATTCTTCTGATAGGTGATGTCCTGTTGTTTCTGAAAATGTACGACCCCAAACTGAAGAGAATATCATTTTGTGGGCATATCTACCCACCCATCAGCACAAAAGTCAGTAAGTATCTGGCCAGAGGTGCATATTGTAATGTGATTTTGCAGCAACCTTTTGCTCGGGTAAAACCCCGAACATGTGTTGTCACTTCTGGCGTGAAAGCTGAGACACAAATCTTTCCCCAAACCAGTTTTTTTTCAATAACTAATATTGGAAGTTAAAGACGATGCAAATCTGGATTTTTAGAATATTATATTGATTGAAACGATGTTGTTTCGGTGAATTACAACCTCTGTATTATTGCGCTTTTGTTTTCGGAAAACCAAGAATGGTTGTAGACTTCTTATATCTGGACTTGTTTTTTGCAGGTGAATTGCTGCCAGCCATGTGCGAAAGGGCAGGCTTACCACAAGGAACTCCACTAGTACTGTATGAGGTGAGATAAAAATCCTGGTTTCCTCGAAAATCAGGCCTTCTGAACCCTGAGCATCCACCGAGGGTTTG